CTCGGCCCGACCCCGCGTCCGCGCCCCAGCCCGGCCTGGCCCTGATCCTGCCCGCGCGGCCCGCCATCCCCCTCCCCAGGGCCCGGCGACACTCGGATGGGATGTTCACGAGCGAGCTGAGCCGCCTGCGGGAGAGCGCGCGTCTGCAGCGGCTGCTCCAGGGCCTGGTGGGCAAGCGCAGGTGAGCGCGGAGACCTTTGGTGGGGGGCGCTCAGGTGGGAGGGCCCGGCACGCGGCGCCGCTCGCAACCCCGCAACTCCCGGACTAACTCTGATTTGGGGTGGGGGCAGCGAGCATGACCCAGAGAACACCACCACCTGGAACACTTCCGCCGAGGGCCGCCTCTGCCTGCCCCTGCCGGCCGGACACGCCCACCCTGCAGGCCTGGTGAGCACCACTAGCCCCCTGCCCCCTCCGGAGGGTACCCCCCCTAGACCCTCCCTCTGGGGCCTGGGGCACCCTGGGCCAACAGCAGGAAGTGGACACAGCAGGGGCCAGGGGCCGGGGGAGGTGAGGCTGAGTCAGGGTGGGTGACCAAAGGAGGCCCAGCTTCAGCAGGTGGGCACAGTTTCCAGCTTCAAGCCCCCAGCCTCTAACCGGGCTGTCTCTGCAGGATGCCCCCGAGTGCCCCCCTGGCTCAGGCCAGGTCTCCTTAGCTGCCTCCTGGATGGAGACCTGGGGTCATGGTTTCAGAGCCCGGCATCCCTGCTGCTGAGAGGACCGGATGAGGCCCTGAGGACCAAGGAGCCTGTCTCCACGCACAAGGGGAGCGGAGCCTGGACCGGGAGGGGTGGGGGGCCGGGGGGATTGCATTTGGCACCAATAAAGGAGGAATTCAGACCCTGGCCTGTGACCCCACTCTGTGTGCTTTCGGTACCGTCAGGCAGCCTCTGTGGTGCAGGGCTGTCGGGGGAGGAGGGCCCCATCCTCGGATTCTGGGACTGCAGCCACGCCCGCTGCCCTTTAAACCTGGGAAACCAGTGGGGCGCCTCACCCTCCCGTGTCCTACCTCTGACATCAGCGCCACCTCCTGTCCCATCCACTGAGCTCCCCAGGGCCCACCTGCACCCCTGTCATCCACTCACTGACATTCAGGGGCTCTGTGGGGGGGCTCAGGACGTCTCCCAGCTCCTGCCCCGGGGGCCAGGTGGTCAGTGTGTGCAGCAGGTCGGGGGGGAGTTGGAGGGGGCAAGTAAGCTCAGGGCAGGCAGGAAGAGATGGCAGGGGGGTGGAGGGGTGTCCCCCAGGAAGCCACTCAGAGTGAGAGGACTCGAGTGTGTGTCTTGGCTCCCTGTCCAGGCCGTGTGGTCTCAGACGAGCGGCTTGACCACTCTGAGCCTGTGGGGCAGGGACGATGATGACACCCCTAGAGGTGCTGGGTGTGCAGGAGGCCGTGGAGGCACTGCCAGCAGGGGCAGTTGGATACCAGGAGCTTCGGGAAGGTGTTTCAGGCCCTTAGAGCCTCGATGCAAACAGGCGGGAAGGCCCCCCCATCATGGCAGCCCCTTCCCTCCTTCCTGACCCCTCCCAGTGGCCTCTCTCCAGCTGCTGGGATTTGGCAGGCCAAGGAAAGATGAGGTAGGGCAGTTGGGGGCCTGGGCCAACGAGCCTCACTGGGGTCCCTCTCTGTCAGGCACCAGAGCCCACGGGGACCCGGGAGCCCCAGGTGTCCCCTGAAACACTGCCACCTCCATCACTGTGGCCCTGCCCAGCCCCACCAGGAGGAATCCGGCTTGTTTCCGGGACAGGCAGGGGTATCCCCAGGACACAAACAACCTTTTCTTTCCAGACCTAGATGGTGGGTGCGGGGAGAGGAGGTGAGCTAGATGGGAACACGGGGTCTGAACGTGCCCCAAGATGACTCTGGCAGAACAGCCCAGCAGAGGGGCAGCTGGGGCCGAGGGGAGGCACAGCAAACACAGGAGCCAGGGCCCAGCCCCCACCCCTCCCCCAGCCTGCCCCC